TAAAATTTTTCTAATGGCCTTCGTGCCACTCATATCTATTAATTCATACCTTATTACAAAATGTGAATTAATATAATATGAGATATTTAAATAAAAGCACAAAAATATTTTCTTTTGGACCAAATAATATAATATGATAATTTATGACAAAATATGGTACCGTTTTCAAACGGATGTTGTAGGGTGCTAACACCTTCCCTACGCTCAGTCGACTCCCAAACCAACAATCTATTTTTCGTAAACTTGTTTTTTTAAATAGGTGACCAATCACACTTCGTAGATGATTGTTGGCAACTCTAAACTATTATCTCGAAAGAGACTCTTCAGGAGATTAAGTCGGCTGTTCCGCGTCGCAATGACGTTGCGACAGCAATCAAACCAGCATGCTCCCAACTAAAATAATTCATACTAGCCAGGGAACTTAGGCTCACCAAACAAACATAACATTTTATTAATATATTTATATTATTTAGTATAATACAAAGTGTTTCAAAGTTGCCTTGGCCTACTATGGATCTGTCCTTACATCTAGAGTACAAAAGGGATTACAATTGTTAATAGGTATTAATAAAAGCCAATTGCTTGCACCCAAAAAAGTTAGTAAATAAATAAAAGTCAAATTGTTTTTAATATTTTCAAAAACTGGTCTAAACGAAAGCTATTTAAACCGAAAATATAGGTAATAAGCCCACTCTATATAAATAAATAGCTTTAAAATATTTTTTAAATTTAAAAATTTCAATTATATATGGTAATTATTTTATGTACTATCCTCTCGTTAATATACTAAATTAATACGTCAACTTGAGCTTGTTTACGGTATACATAAATCGATCAAAAAATCGAAGTTTCGATCTCCACGCCTACATGTTAAACTAAAAATAAAGGCTCATTAATAAGGGTATATTTGGTAGAGAATTCGGGTCCTATTTCTTGTTTTCACGTCTATTGAATGAAACGAATTCAATAAATATTTGTTTGGTACCGTTGTTTTTTAAAACTGTTTTCGAATTCTATAATCAAATAATAGAAATTTTGAAAACAACTTTTTCATGTTTTTAGTGTTTTCATATTTTGGATCCAAAAGATTAAAATACAGCGTTATATTTAAAAAAATAAAAACTTTGATTAATACACTATTTCATGTTATAAACTCATTTTATTTTTGTTAAAGTTAAAACATGTAGAATATAATATATTATAAATTATATAATATTGTAAAATACTAATTCTAACCAAATTTATAACATTTATGTTAAAAAATTAATTAATAATATTTTTTATTAAACTAAATATTTAGCTGATAAGTAATGACTTACCAATATATTATAAAACATCTCCGAGTTTGTTTCTTTTAAATTGAGATTAAATTTTGAAATATTTTAAAACAAGAAACACAACCATGTTTTCCTTATATTTTTATTTTCAAATCACTAACTAAACCCACCATAAGATTTCCAAATAAAAATATTGAAGAAGGGGAACGGAAGAGAGTTTGGCTCACTCTTACATTTGCAGGCATTTCTTAATAGCCCGAAAACCAAGGCCTCTTTGGTAACATTTCTGCTTCTTATTTTTGTGACTCTTTTTTAATAAAAAGAAAATAAAATTGCATGACTCCCTATACCCATAGATTCAATAATAATAAAACGAAATATTTATTTATGTTGTAACAAATTAAAAACGGGAACAAGAAATAAGAAACTTGTTTTTGCCGTTTCCAAAATTTCTATACAATTTTGAGATTGTTTATAAAAAATGAGAAACAATAAAACATAAATATTTTGTCAAAGGTTTTAATGTCTTAATAAAATTGAAAACAAGAAACAAAAAACAACCGTTACCAAACAGGCCACAAAATCTCTTTCTGAATGGATTGAAACACAGAAATAATACCTCCCACAAGTAATCTTTATTGATATTGCTTCCTTTTTTGACTCAACTGTGCAGCAAGATAAATGTATATATTCCTTGTTTAGAAATTACAAAAGTATGTATCAATTTTATAAGTTTTTGGATAGTGCTACGTGCACTTAGCCTAGATTTTGATAGGATTTCCATCACTTCTCATTTTGGCTTTGAAGCCATGTGTCACTATCAGAGAAATATGTTCCAATTTTTTATTCCATTTTGTGGCATGAAATCTATCATTGGATAAACAATCATTCCAACCCAAGCTATTATATTGCTTGCTCTCTAATGGTCTTTTAGATCTCATCTTTCTCATATCTCAAAAAGCAAAATCTCTCTCACATAATAAAGTGGAAGTAATACGAGCTGACTAAAATGATTCCACGTGAAAGAAGATCGGACCTTTAGAGTTGGGGATTATATTTCACCTTGTGAATCATTTTTTCGATCCAGCGTAATCTAATAGTTAAGGTTGTGTAAGAGTTCTGTAATATGATCGATCAAAAGTATTTCTCTCTCATAATCATCAAGTTTAGTTTGAAAGTAACGTAAAAATGCTTTTTTTTTAAGTCACAGACAATTAGAAAATACTTAGTGAAGTTCTTTTGGGCCAATTGCTTGATTGGAGTAYTCTAACAGATTTTAAGATGGTAGAATCAAATGTCAAAATGATTTCTCCTTAAGCACTTTTGGTTAAAAGTGATTTCTTATAATACACTTTTTAAAGTGCTTAGGAATAAACTAATCTATTAAAAGACTTATTCTAGAACTAACCAGCACACTCAAGTTCAAATTCAAATAAAATCGTATCTTATCCACTAAACTATGTTCTAATTGACATTAACTAATACAAGCTTGCCGAACTATAAAGTCATGGTCGGGGGACGCTCAAGCTTGCCTAATAAGGTTAAAGTAATCAAGCCTATTGAGCCATGGACCTCATAGTCGATTGAGTTAAATACGGTTTAGACCATGTCGAGATGGAGGACCTCAGTTCATCCTAGAAAGCTAGGATCATGTGTTAGAATTCATATATATCCAAAGAGTTCAACAAGAACATAAATCTCACCCCTTCTAAACCAAGAAACATAAAATCTTAGGACGTGTTTGATAACGATTTTTGTTTTTAATTTTTAGTTTTTCTGTTTTCTGTTTTTACTTTATTGTTTTTAGAAAACAAAAACCATATATGTTTAGTAAATATTTTTTGTTTTTAAAAACAGAAAATCAAACATGTTTAATAACCATTTTGATTTTCTATTTTAAAAGGTTAAAAAATTGAAGGGATTAGAGAGGGAAAATCTATGCAGATTAGATGACTATATGGTGTGTGGCGGGAGTTATAAATGCCCTCTCCCATCCTTGTCCTTGCATAAATTTTTAATCTCCATCTTCACATCATTCTCTAATTTCGAGAATTGAGGTCCAGATTAAGGAATTCTCATTAAGGGACGAGGATCTTCAATGGAAAAATTACAGGTTTGGTAATTAATTTTAATTATTTTTAGAATTTAAAAAACAAAAAACATAAATAAATATAAATATATAATTTGTACCCATTGTACTGAAAAAAATTATTATTTATTAGTATAAATAATAGCATTGAAAAATATATAATATTTCATTCATAATTTAGTAAAATAATTAATAAAATATATATTAATAATTAAAAAAAATAGAATTGGAGATGKGTTGCAAAATACATTTCTTGTTCTAGTAGTGGGACCCAACACTATGAAAATTTTTCATCCCTAATGTGGAGATGTAAAAAAAAAGTTAGGAAAAAAAAACTATTTAAAGAAAAATTTTAGAGACGGTAAATTTTAAGAGAGAAAAGTTATAAAAAAAATTAATGAAAGAAAGGCTAAAAGACAAAAATAGAAAAATTTAGAGAAATGTAAAGTTCAAAGCAAATGACATGTTAGAGAGAGAGAAAAATTATAGTGAGAAAAAAATTAGAAAAAAAGTTCGAAATATATTTTTTAGAAAAAAAAAGTAAAGAAAAATTATAGTGAAAGAAAATTAAACCACAAAAAATTTAAATAGAGAAAAGCTAGACCTATATTTTTAAGAGAAAAAATTATAAAATGCTAAATTTGAGAGGGAGAAAAATTCAGAAAAATATTACACAGAAAGATGAGAGTGATATGTCAAACTAAAAAGAAAGAAATAAAAATATAGAGATGAAAATTATTTAGAGAAAGAAATGCAAACTTTTGAGAGAGAGAGAGAAATTCAAGCACGAAAAGATTTTAGAGTAAGAAAGAAATTTGTTAAAGAAAAATTTGTCAAGAGAAAAATAATTAAACATTATAAGAAAAAATGAGATTTTGAAAAAAAAAAATCAATTTTTAGAAACTCCTTTTTTTAATTTACTTAGAATTTTAAAAATATTTTTTAAAAATAGAAAATAAAAAATTGAATGTGTTATCAAACAAGTCAATTTTTTCAAAAACAAAAAACCAAATGATAAGTGGTTTTGAGSTAGCATGTCTTGAACATTCAACTATTGAATTTGATGGCCTTGCAAATTTTCAATTAGATCCRAGTTTTCCAATGTTTTAACCTTGTGTTTTGAAGGTCTGCCTAAAGAATGTGTGCCAACAACTTGAAGGGTATACAAAATCTCAAAAATAAAGTCTAAGACCCATATGATAATCATTTCGTTCTTAGTTTCTACTTTTTAGAACATTGTACTTGTTTTCTTACTTTTTCGAGAGGTCCTTTAGTGTTCTTTCACCTTTGTCAACTTAGCTATTTTAGTACTACTCAATACTAAGACAAAAGCTTTCAGCACTCCCAGATCAAGACGTCTAATTTTAAATTGACTTAGAAAAAAAAAAGTAATAAAATATCGTACCGTCTTAAACAAGCACGGGAAAAATGTAGCTTACCACACTACGATTCAAAAAAACGAGAAGAAAACCAGTAAAAAGATGGAATATAAAGATAAAGAACATTTTTGTAAGGAACTGTAATTTTGATTTACCATGTCCAAACACCTGTAAAACTTTTTAATTAAACTTCATGTTGACCCAGAGACCATAACTTTTATACACAAAAATAGAAAGAAAGAAGAAAAGAACATGTGATCGTCTAACAGGGTTAAACTTTCAAGCCACAAAAAACCATTGAAGTTATTGGTACAAAGAAGCAAAGAACATTTAGAACTTAAGCTATTAAGCATAATAAAGTAGAATATTTAGACCCAAAAAAGATGGGGTAAACTGTCATATGGTTCATGTTACCTATCTTACCTCTACACAAATTTGAGACACTAAATTTCTAACAAAATAGATAGAATTTACAATAAGGGGTGCATGGAACATATTTCGAATCATACAAAGATCAGACACGTAACCTTTTTACATCATTTTCAGGGACGCTGGCATCGCTCCCATTACCCCTCACAGATGTTGATTGCCCCTGAACCTGAATCAAACAATACCATACATTAGTCGGTCTGTTTGTCGTTAAACTACCATTAAATTCAAGTTAATAGATTATAATATATTTACCTTTTTTCTTAAAAATTCTCAATACATCCCCTCACTAGTCGGTTAAAAAATTAGTGCAGGACACAATAAATAACTATCAATAATATTGAATAACACTACAAGAAATTGAACATAAAATTTCATGCTCATACTATGTTTAAACTATCACTAAATCTAAAAACTCAAGCCTATAGATTATAGTATATTCAGGCTATGTTTGGGAGTGATTTTGACTGTCATCTTCTAAAATCACTCGTATATTATTACCAAAGGTTAGGGCATGCTTAAAAATAATTTTGATATTATCAAAATCACTCTCTTTCTATTTAAATTTGTAACAATAATATACTAGAGATTTTGGAAAGTAATTTTACTTGTACCAAAATCACTCCCAAATATCCGCTCAACATATTCTTAATATTTCTCATATATTTCGACTTCAAACATCAATCTCACGCTCATATTCTACAAATATTGATAGTTTTATCTGATAAGCAGAGCTGTTAATATTGAAAGCTTAATCACATTATCACAAGTCAAGGATGCTGAGTCTTGAGGAGCATTAGAGAGCATTTTGAGCACTTGCAAGTAGAGCCAAACCATACTTTGGGAAGGCTGATCTAGTTAAGGTCATCAAGATGAGAAAACAGTTTAGGGACTGAAGTTCAAAGCAGTTATCTGTAATTTTAATAACCTCACCAAACTCGAGCAAAATGTGAAACAAGTTCGGACTTTTAGTAATAGAATAAGCATTAACTGCACCAAGCCACTTGTGAGCAACCCGGCTTGCTTGTTACAGTACATTTGCTTTTTTTACATATAAATGCAAGGACGAAAGAAAGTATCTTATCTGACAAATTTCTAAAGAAATGGCAACAGCAAACACCAAAAAATAAGGTTAAATTACAAGTTTGGTCCTTGAACTTTCAAAGTTGTATTTAATAGTCCCTGAACTTTAAAAAGTGCTTAATAGGTATCTAAACTTTTAATATTATATCTAATAGATCCCTGAACTTTAAAAAGTGTCCAATTAAGTCATTGAACTTTCAATTTTATCTCCAATAAATCCTTGAACTTTTGAAAGTGTCTCATAAATTAGGAATTTATTAGACATAAAATTGAGAGTTCAAGACTTGAGAACTTATTAGACATAACATTGAAAAATTAAGAAGCTATTAAATACTTTTTAGTTTTAAAGCGGAAAGACTTATTAGACACATTTTAAAGTTAAAAATTCTATTTGACATATCCTCCAGGAAGGTCATGAACCAAGCTTATAATTTAACCAGAAAATAATAATGCAACCTGAAAGTAGTAATGCAGGGAAAACTGTATTCTCCTTGGGAATTTTTGGGCTTTAAGAGTTAAAATCAAAGGATTCATAGATAGTCATTGAGATTTAAGACTACCTATGCAATATTATGTTAAGTGAATCTTTTGAATACTATGCAATATTATATCGCAAGAATGGAAAGACCAGTTAAAATAAAGCTTACAGGCTCATCAGGAACAATTGCATATCTCTCTGTTGGGGACACCCAAGTTTTTCCTGCACAAGAAATAACATGAGAGAAGAACGTTAAAATTTTACAATCAACATACTTTTAAGATTCACTCATTAAATATAGGCAGTAGTAAGTAGAATAAAGCAAGCACCTGAAGATGAATCTAAATTCGAGGATTCGATCTGTTGACCACAACCATCCACACTTAAAGCTGCCAGGATTGTCGGTGCGTTCCTTCAATTAAAGAATAAATACCAATGGAAAATAATGTACAAAACACAAAGATAAGGCATCCTCCTAAAGTATTAAAGAGCGATTAAAATATAGAAAACTTTAGCCTTTGTGATTTCATTTTCATTTTTACTCTTCCTAGAAAATACAAGAGTTTCTCCCAATACCTCATTTGTGCAGAAGAATTTTCCTACCAACAGAGATTTCCAACCAAAGAGTTAAGCCACCATATCAAGCAACTCACGAGACTCACACCAACTGATCCTTAAAAGCCAAAAAATGGAACTCGAGTACGGTAAAAAGAAACAGCGGCACGAATTCTTGGTCTTTCCGTGGAGTCAATCACAAGTATTTTCCCCTAGTACTACGGACTAAGGAAAGTAATTTTATTATATTAGGATTTTTAGAATCGCCATGAATTCGCACGATTTTTGGATTGGTGATAGAGAAATAAAGGCGTCATCCAGCTTGAAGGAACATGAAAAGTCGATTGATTGTGCTGAGCAATTGCATGAAAAGTTGGAATCTAATTAGCAAAAAACCAAAGGGAAATAACATGACGGGGAGGAATAAAGTAAGAAGATAATATAAGGGGGAATTTATTTGGATTTCCAAGCATTTGAATAGAGGAGAAAATTGTAGAGAATCTAATTCTTCCCGATTTCAATAACTACCTTACTGAACTAATTCTTTCCATGGAGATATATTATAGTAGATTGATGATACAGCTGCCAGAGTTGTAGTGGTGAAAAAAATGAATCAAGATTTAGAAGTTATATAAAAGAAGCTATCACAAGTACGAGAAAGAATGAATACAAATACATTGCTGTTGACCTAAGAATCTTTTACAAGTTATAACTCATCATGGAAAGCCCATAGTTACAAAAGAAATCTTTGTGATTTGCACTCCATCAAGAAGCCAAGTGATGTATACTATTGACAAAAGAATCAGTTGAACAATTTTCATCCTCAAAAATTCTGAAGTTCCTCTCTTTCCAAATAAGCCAAAATTGGCTCACATAGCACACAACTAAAGAGTCAACGGTCTCCTTTTGAAATTCAGCCCCTGGAGCCCTTCCAAGAGCCAGTCATCCACTCTGTTTGGGAGGCATAAAAACAGTCCCATCTAAGCTCAAAATAAAACACCAACCATTGTAGGCAACAGGGCAGTGGAGGAATAAGTGGTCTAGGGACTACTCATCACTTAGCAGAAAGGCTTCTACCATTAAGGAAACCAAGCAGCAACTCGCAGAAGTCCTCCCTGCCCCTAAACACCAACCATTGTAGGCAACAGGGCAGTGGAGGAATAAGTGGTCTAGGGACTACTCATCACTTAGCAGAAAGGCTTCTACCATTAAGGAAACCAAGCAGCAACTCGCAGAAGTCCTCCCTGCCCCTAAAATCTCTCCTTGCTGAGGCCACTCAATTTTTTTACCTCCTACATTTAGGACTTTCGCAATTTCTATATAATGGCCCCTTTTGTTTGATGTTTCTTGTCTCCGAAGCCATTGTTGCAGTGGGTTTTCTTCAAGAACTTCTGTTTTTGTGGGGCTGAAATGTGATCAACTAGATTATCGACTTTCCACACTATCGCCGCTTCTTTTGTCGTTATGTGAAAATATCTACGTGTGAGCATATGTTATATTTGCTATCCTTCCTCTGCTTCTCTTGTCAAACTCTATAGAGAAGGTCTTGTTTTCGATTCTTGACGATAGAAGGGCGACCCCATCTGAAAAATGGATGTGAGTGTTATAGGACTCTAAATGAAACATGGTTGGAGAAGGTGAGGTACATCCACCGGAGGAACAATCAAGGCTAGGGAACCATACCCAAAGATAGTTGGAATTTCTTGCTCAGCAGATGCCATATCGCAAATCAAGAATGACCTACTTTGAATATTCTCCCTGTGATTTTTCAATGAAAATTCTTGCAGTTTCTTACCTAAAATAAATAAAAAAAAAATACAGAGGATTAAAAGGTGGTTACCAAGTACTGCCTACAGCTTAAAGATGCCAATCTTTGACAAAAATGACCCTAGTTGGTATTATTTACTGTAGTGTAATGGTATCATTTGACTGTCAGAGAAAGAAAGCTGAAGGCTAGCTTCTGGCAGAGATAAACTTTAGCATGATAGGAGCCGAATGGAAGAAGCCTTCTTGTAGTTTTGAGACAAGAATACTATGGAGCAGTTTTAACTAATGCAAGAAGGAATTTTATGGAGGACAAATCTCAACACTGATGAGAAAGAAAATGAGGGAGACTGCCATCGACTAGAAATTATTGTGGGAGTTTTAGGGGAGATTCCAAAACGTATTATAGAGCCAATTTAAGAATGGACTCAAGAATGAAGCAGTGGGCAAACTGGGAATGATGTATGAAGTGGGTTCGGACAAGACAATAACTTCGCCTTCAAAACCTCACAAGTCGAACCCACCCAGCATGCTCAACACACAGCGAACATCCAAGAATCCTACTTTGTAGATTAAGTCAATGATTCCACCAACTATCCGCATGGCCAATGGAATTGACAAACGGATGTTTAGTTCCTTCCTAATAAGAAAACTTGGCATGATCAAGGATTCGATTGGAATTGAACTATGAAAGATACCACTGCTTGGAGTCTCACCCATTTGGGTCATCTCAAACTTGCTAATGATGACTCTATGTCTGTGCCATAGGGCAAAAGGTTTTTGCTAATAGGATTCCCACACCCATTAAATCCATCATACACATGTTTAGGCACCAAGTGAGGCCTTCCTCCATGAAACCCCTCCCACAGAAAACATCATCAATCTTTCTGAAGTCTTTGCGACAAAAACCGGAAATATGAACAGGGTTAGAAAATAAATGTGAATGCTACTCAGTGCAGATTAGAGAATGGTTACAACAACCTCCTTTGAGGAAAAAAGTCATTTTCCAATTGGAGAGCATCTATTGGTCTTTCTTAATAACAGGGTCCCATAAGACGACAGATCTCAGGTTGTTACCTAAAAGAAGACCAGAATAAGATATGGGAAAATGGGACCACGAGCATCCAACAAAAAGTGAGCTAATTTTCTATTGCAGCTTTTGATGCCAGCAAGGGGCATTTCGGTGACTACAAATAGATGTATAATCACCCTAATATATTCTTTAACTTCATAAAATTAAAAAAATTAGACTGAATGTGTTGATGTCAAAATTGAAGATATCCATTAAAATTTTGATAATTTAAGTTCTAGAAAAATACTGCAGTAGAAAGAATACTGCATATTAGTCCAAACAGCTATATGTGTTACCGGTCAATTGACTCCCCATGTCCAAGCTGCCCATTTGTACCTCTACCCCAAGAAAACACATTTTGCCTATCAGTAACAGCCAGTGTGTGCCTCCATCCACATGAGATCTGAACTACATTCTGTGAAGAGAGCAAGGACAAAAATTGAGTAATGAGCTAATCATGTCTCCTATGTGATAGGAGTTGGAAAATAAAAATAAAAATCTTCACAGAACAAAATATCTGAAATTCTTAACAAAATCTTAGAAAATAAGCAACAAGTATGTGCCTGATCCTGGGGGAACTTTATTTGCATAGGGGAGCAATGATCAACATTATCACCAACTCCAACCTGACCAAACTGTACATGACAGAAAAATAGAGATCAATGCCAACTAGATGAAGGGAACAAAATAACTAACAAGTTCACTGCTAGGAATATAGCCTCTGCAGGAATGCATCTCCATATCCAATATAAAAATTGTCTTACATGGATTTATTTAGAATCGTTAAGTTTATTCTTCCTTAATTTATTGAACAAATTCCTCATGATGCATTACATTATCCATTAATATTTTTAACAAGAAAATAAGATTTCCAATTGAACCATAAAGTTTTGAGAGAATAATTACAAAAACTCTTGGAAAGAAAAAAGAGAGACAACAAGTATAATTTCCTAGTGGTGTTAGGGTTCGTCACACCACCAAGGGTCGGTCATATATTTAGAAAATGTTGTCAGAACTATCTTATTCTTTTCTATCCAAAGCACACAAAACACAACATAAAAATGATTGACCCTTATGCTTGATCCTTAATTCATTTTCACAAAAGCCAAGAATCAACCAGCTAAACCCAATTAATTTTGTAATGGAAAGTGGTAGCAAGTTAGTACTTTTAATCTAAAGGGGTGCAACACGAGGACTTCCCAAGTGGTCACCCAACTTAGTAGGAAGTTAGTACTGAAATGATGAAAGTAAATATGATACCCAAGCAAGCACTTTCAGAGACCTGGACTCACCCAAAATAACTTCACACCACTCTGTGGGTCTCCCATCCCCCAAACTCCCTCTATTTGTAACACATTCCACTGACCAACTCCTATTAACACAAATACACCCTCCTAATATCCTAATAATATTCCAAACTCCCTCTATTTAAAGTAATTTCGTTCAGCTTGTGGAAAAGGGATTTTGTAGGGAATCTATTTCCACTCTCGAGATCCCACATAATTCTATCTTTTCCCCCATTTTTATGAAAAGCGGCTAACTTTTCCATTAGAGACAGCAAGCTATGAAGTTCAGAATCTCGAAAACCTCTTCTAAAGCCTAAATCTCAATCACACGGCATGACATTCCAGCAATCTGCAATTGAAGCATCTTTCTTCCTTGATATGGAGAATAAATTCAGGAATTGGTTCTCCAAGGTTGAAGATCCCAACCATTTGTCTTTCCATAAGCTTGTTCTCTACCCATTTTTTACTTTATATCAATAAATTCCAAAATCCATTTCGTCGTCCAGTAGCGACGACCGTGAGACAAAATTGATAAGGAAGTATGCAATGTTCACCCAAGGTCTCTCAAAAGCTTTCCCTTTAGGAGGAAGGGGGGTCTCCTCAATAGAGCACTCTCTTCTTGACGAAACCTCCAAAGCCATTTATGAAGTAGGGTGTCGTTCCTTTGTTTCAAACAACCTATGCCCAAGCTGCCAAAAGTTTTAGGCAAAGAAGAAATTCCCCATTGAACTAGGTGTCTTGAGGATGACAAACACCACTGCTCCAAAAGAAGTTTCTCACAATATTTCCCATCTCTTTCATAACCTTTGTAGGGGCCTTGAAGATTGAAAAGGCATAAATAGGAAGACTGTTAAAGACTTAAAGGGCTAAGGTTAGCCTCCCCCATTAGACAGCAGCAAAATTTTCCATCCATCAAGCTTCTCCATAAATTTGTCAACGATCAGGTCCCAGAAAAAGGCCTTGCAGCAGTCTCTTTAGCTATCAAAACGGAATCCATGATTTTCCTTTTATGAAACAAAGGCACAGATTGGTTAGGAGTCACAGTATAGAGGACGATTGTCTTAAGCCTAGTTGCCAAAACTTTCACAATGATCTTATAGACAATCGAGACCAAGCTTATGTTGCAGAAATCAGCTACTTTGATTACTCTCACCGTCTTAGGAATCAAACATATATAGGTTTTATTGACACGTGAGTTTAGGATCCTATTCTCAAAAAAGTCGTGGAACACTTTAAGGAAGTTCCCTTTAATAATGTTCAAAGTCTTTTTTAATAAACTCTCCAGTAAACCCGTAGGACCCAGGGGCTTTACTAGCTCCTAGATCATCAACTGCTCTTTTAATCATCTCTTTGATCAAATGGGATGGGATTCCATTCCATGCCTTTAATGCTCAAGTTAGGCTCAAACCTCTTGGAATAAAGCTTTTGAAAGAATTGTATGAATTCTTCAATAATCTTCCCTTATCTGTTCACCTCCTCCCTTCATTGTTTAAAATTTCCGTGATTGAAAACTCTTCTTCCTCTTGGAATTTTCATACTTGTGGAAGAAGCTAGTATTCTTGTTGCCTTCAGCAAGCCACCTCAATTTGCATTTCTGCCTCTACATCCTGTCTTCCTTTTTAAAACGTCGGCTACCTGTGTTTTGAATGCCTCTTTCTGAAATTTCCTCCACGGTCAGGCCACCTAGTTACTCCTCATCAAGGTCTTTATTGCATTTGCTATCTAGGTTTTCTGTGGTGTAATGCAGCAAAACACCTCTTTGTTCCACTGTTTTAATCTACTTTTTAAGATCTTGAGCTTGTGAATCAGAGGAAAGTGAGGCTAACCATCAGAATGATTACTTTTCCACAAATCCTCAAGAAACGTTAGGAATGAAGGATCTGAAGCCACACAAGCCACACATTTTCAAATTTGAAAAGCATATGCTTCTATCTAAAAGAACCAGTTTCCAAAAGCAATGGAAAATAGTCTGACGGAATTTTGTAGAGTCTGGAGGCTCTGGTGGAGAAAAATTTTGTATTCCATTCCTAGCTAACCAGAAACCTATCAATCTGAGAGGAATCCAGTCTCCCTTCGCCATTGGACCAAGTATACTCCCTAGGGGTGTTCAAAATACCCGGTGACCCGACGAACCCAACAACCCAACCCAAACCGTAAGGGTTGGGTTGGGTTAGAAATTTTTTCGGGTTGGGTTGGGTTCAATTTTTAAAGAGAGTTGAATAGGTTTTTTGGTTGGTTCAACCCGAACCAAACCGAACTATATTAAATTAAAAAAAAAAAATATATATATATATATAACCTATTTAGGGTTTGGTTTCTATCCTCTTCAACCTCATTCCCCCTCTCTACGCCGCCTCCACCCTCCCCCCTCCCCCCTTGTCTCTCATCTCTCTCCCTCCCYCTGTCTCTCTCTCTCCCMCTCCCCTTTCTCCCTCATCTCACTCCCTCCCTCTGTCTAACCCTCCCCCCTCCCCCCTTGTCTCTCATCTCTCTCCCTCCCCCTGTCTCTCTCTCTCCCACTCCCCTTTCTCCCTCATCTCACTCCCTCCCTCTGTCTAACGCTCCCCCTCCCCACTGTCTCTCTCGTTTCTCCCTTTCCATCCACGTTGAACAACGATCCGTGAAACTTGCTGAACAATGGTCCATGGAGGCTCGAATATGCACCGTAAGAAATCAGAAATGCCATGGCAACCATGTATTCTCTTGTCCTCCCCCTTGATTCCTCTCTTCCCCTCAGATTTATCTCCTTCCTCTTGCCCTCTGTCTCTCTCAAATTTTCAATGATTTTGATTGTGAGGGAATGTTGTTAGTTTTTTTCCTTGTGTTTGCACTGGATAGTCCTGTTCTTTCCATAGAAGTTGAAACTAAGAGCAACCTAGTAACCCGACCCAACCCAACCCGAAAATTTAGAGTAGGGTTGGGTTGGGTTGGCCATCATATTTGGTTTCAGCAGTTTTCTAATCTGATCAACCCGAAAATTCGGCTTGGTCCAAAGAAAACCCCTAACCTGACCCAACCCAACCCGTGAACACCCCTAATACTCCCCATTTAAGAGCTTGAGATCATTGATAAGATTGCTAAAATTTCACATGCTTTTGGTTATGTGCCCTCCTCTTCTCAAACGGCCACCTTGTGATGTTAAAATCTCCACCTATACACCAGCAACAAGAGCAGAAACCTCCAATAGCATCAAGTTCATCCTAGAAGGCCCCTCTCTCCTTAGAGTCGCTAGGGCTCACAAATATCTCATTTAAAGATCAACCATTTTTTCCTTTTGAACCATCACTTATCTCCAGCTTCATCGGCAATTCAAATTGGAGCTGCTATCTGTCTATTGTCTATGAAAGCTGATTGAGAGTTTGAGATCATCGCAGAAGAAATGCTTCAAGTCTAACTTTTCAAAATGCCCATAGTTAAGTTTATGTGTCTATCATTTGAGATTTTAACAACATTAGACTGCTTGGGGATGAGGACGGACAGCGTAGATCTCATTCCAGTAATCCATTAATCAACAGACTACTTGCAACGATTATAAATTTATAATGAATTACAAGTGAATTCCCCAACAGACAAACCTTATTCCATCCCCATCCATAAAGTTTTCCATCAGTCGTAAGAGCCATTGTATGCCTCCAACCACCAGATATCTGAAATTTTTAAGACAACAGTGCCTCAAATTACAATTCTGAAAAAATAAATTTGAAAATTTTTTGTTAACAAGAAATGAACTTCTCATTGATGAATGAAAATGAACATAAAATGTTCAAAGATACAAACTCCAAAAGAGTGGGAAGACATAAAAATGTAAATACAAATAAAAGAAAGGCGAAACGAGAAAAAACTAATAAAAAGAGGGAAAATGCATCTAAATGACATGTACAAATTAATGGTTCTTAATGAGGTCAAATGTCAACCAACTGTATGAAGCAAGCATACGATACATCACAGCAAAAGGATCCTCCAAAAGCAATCAACCCCAAGAATTTTCATTCAGCACCATTATTTCCAGCAAATAATGGTCAGAATGCACTAATATGCCCCTATCTACCTCGAAAACCTCCTGCCTACCCCTTTGCTAAACATAAAAGAGGAAGCTAGCAAGCATCCCTGCTTTTTTGAAGCATATCTTATTAATTTAATTATTCAAAAACTTCACAATACACCCCTCTTATGTGGGACCTATATCATCTCAATTAAGAAAAGAGTTCAAACGCTTGAGCTATCAATTTCAAGGGAGAAGGAGAATTTAAATATTGATCCACTACTGGAACTATCAATTGTTAAATGAGGATACAGGAACTAGATTTGAACTCAAAAACTTTGTGCTCTAGTCCCTTCTAAGAATTATTCTCTTCAAAGGTCAATCTTCAGATGAGTGAGATTACACATGCATACACAGAGGCCACTAACATCTAGATTAATAACTGCAGAAAAGCCACCTGAGAAATGTAATCTCTATGTAATGCTTCTAGCCTGTGAGGCACAAGGCGATCCTCGTAATCTCCATGTCCTAGTTGCCCATATTTGCTCCATCCATAAGTGTATAATCCACCCGAAGAGGAAACTGATATTGTATGCCGCCACCCACAAGCAACCATCACCATCTTGTCACCCTGCCAATGTAAATTTTACAAGATAATCCAAGAGGTAGATAGAAGAACAAAGCAACAAAAATCATGAATGACTAAATCCAAACATGGAGTGAATTTTAAGGGTTATTTTCAACATCTAATCCACCTTCATTTTTATGCTTTTTAAAATAATGGATTCATGAATACGATGTATTTGCGTTAGGCAGACTGGTTTGCAAAAAACAGTAAGTCAGATCAATTAAAACTTTCCTTTATTATTTCTTTGATTTTGAATTCAATATTCATATGAACGCACAGAGTGATGCTTTTTCAAAAGTACAATCTTGCTGTTCCTCATAAATATAGTCCATCTCTATGCATTCCCTAATTCTCTCTAGCATCTTCTCTCTCCTCTCTAACCAACCCCTCTCTCTCCACAAACCTCCTCAAAAAATTGTTTGCAGATCCAAAATCCAGCAGTGCCTTAAATGCCCCCTTAAGCTATTATCATTAGACGAGAACTTCTAAAACGAAATTTGATTTCATTTTCAGCCAACAAAGATCAAAATGTTGTATGAGTAAATACACATCTTAACCACAAAATTAATTAGATTATTAAGTACACCAAGAAAATTGGTCATCTCTTTGATTGCAGAATCCATGCTCCACATGCTAAATTATATGGCTCACTAGTACATTCAAATGAGCCAAATTGATGTAGAAAAAGAAAAATTACCTCAATAATGCATTTTTGGGTAAATTCTTATAGAAGTCCTAGTATTATGATGTACAATATTGATATGTTGGTAGGCATTGTTAGTTCTTAGGCTGTTAAATTGATTTTTGGTATTTACTGCTTTACCTTAGGTTAAATTGGTTAATAGTTGATAAGGTTTAGGTTCTCTTTTCTACCTATTCAACTTCTCCATAAGCATTTTCTTGAGATTTTATCACCTTCACATTTTTTTTAATGTTCGATAACTTCTGGTTGGTTGAATTTTTTTTTCCCACTAGCCTCTTTGTGCTTTTTATGCTTTGCTCCCTTGTTTGTATCATCTTTCTAATAAGAGCTTGCATTCGGTGGCCTCTGTTTTTCTATTTGAAATTTGAGATTATAAAGGTCTGGCATACCAACTAACTCAAAGTAACTAAAGCACTAAATTAAAAACTACATAACAAATAAACCAAACCAATATCCAAGTTTAAAAGAAAATTACAAAGATTATCCTTATCCCACTACATCATGTGTCCAAAACTAAGAAAATATCAAGACTAAATTTGCGCTCTAATTCATGTGTCCAACCAGCTTGAGAAAAATTTTAATTGGTTTTAACTACATTGGAATTTTTATCTCATAATCATGTAGGAAAATTATGGTTATAAAGTAAGAAAATTAAATTCAACCAGTATTCAAACAACCCAATTAATAATATGGCAAGAGCACATATCTCACGTAAAGAAAGTCAATTCTGAGAATAAGTAATCAAATCATCACAAAAAAAGGTAATCAATTCTTTTGATTGAATACATGGAACAAACTATGATGCCTCCAACAGTTCAGTCTACCTTTATAACAAATCATCCCAACCACTGTCCAGTTAGGCCATATTCCATATTCTAATATGAAAATGTTCGCATCATTATGATAGATAGCTCAAACTTAGAATCGCAACTCTTGTATTGCATGTTTCGTGGGCTATGTGTTAATCCCAAAGCGTTAATAAAAAAAAAGACCTTTAGTCGCCTGCTAAATATTATAAATCTTTCACTTAATGCATCATTAATCCAAAGGCTTGGTTGGAACCTTACATCATTATTAATTGCGACAAAGAGATAAAGAATGCTATAATTGTCAACATACATCAATAGAAGAAACTTTCTGGGGCACCAATCGATCATTTCTGTCGCCTAATCCCAAGTTTCCATACCGGCCCCAGCCCCATCCAAAGAGCTCTCCATCTTCTGTGACAGCAGCAGTATGTTCAGCACCTGCAGCTACCATTTTTATTGATATTCCCTACAACAGAGATTTGTTACAATGTCTACTTTAGAAAAAATTAACATTACAAAGTAAAATATTTCTTCAAATTCTATTTCATAAACAAATTTGACATTATAAAGGCATTGGATTAGATCACAGTTTGATACACTCATTAAATAAAAACTATCAATGAAAATCTCACTCGTACAACAACACAGCAAGAGCCTAAAGTATTGCAGATGATCATATAATGCATGCAGAAAGTGATGCCTTGATGTGTGAGGTTGCAAGTTACGCCTATGAATATAATCATAAAAACGAATTTTAGCATCGGTTCATAATTATAGTTTCTCCTTTTTTTTTTTTGAGAATTTTATAATTCTAGTTGGACAAAATGTTCGTTTTATAAATATTTAAATTAAGTCCTGTCCAGCTAATCCTGGCTAACTAAAAGTCTATAACAAAACAAATAACAGAATTGTGAATTTTTAATTAAGTCCACATCAATTCCATCCTCTTAAAAGAAATCCATCCTCTCGTTGTTAATTATCCTTTTCTTTTATTAGAAACAAAATGTTAAAGTCCAATCTAAAATATTAATGTCATTTTAGAGGTTGAGATCAGATGGTGATAGGCCACCAGTTATCTGTGTATCAGAGAGAGAGAAGGGAGAAGTACTTTAGTTTGGGGCTCACTTGCAACTAGATGACGGGACTTAGTGGAGTATGGAATTTAAGTAGATGGGAGGGGATCTAAGGGGTATATGCCTTTATCAGTAGTGAGAGAGAGGAATGTGAGAGCAGGGGAACTCTATAATCTTCTCCAAGGTTTTTATTTTTTTGGAGGTGAAGAAACTTCTTTTATTAATAAAAAGAAGGAATACAAAAGAGAGTACAAGAGATCCTCAAAAAATAAATAAAAATAGAACAACAATAACTCTATTAACGAAGGCTTGTACCTTCTGTTATGAATAAATAAAGATCAATAAGCTATCCTCTGTTGATAGAAGATGTCAACAAATTGAGTAGAACTAATTACTAACTAATTTCAAGATCATCCAAAATCCTACTACATTAAATTATATCTAAAATTAATTTTTATTGATTTCATATTTACCATTGGCGAGTAGCATTTTTATATTTGCAGAATTCTATTTCAAAAAACAGAAAACTACTTTTCACATCGTGAACTAAAATCCCATGGAGTCCAAACCAAAAGGTTGGTAGTAAAAAATGCTATTGACGAGAGAGTAATAGTAATAATACATAAAAGGTGCATCAATTTGTAACTCCTTTTAAAGTGTTTGCAAGAACTTAATCCTTCCAAAATTTTCAATGTGGTCGAGGTTCAATGATTCTTTTTCCAATTAAGGAATTCAGATTAAAATTTTTGTCCAAATACTACGATAGGATTGGTCCATAGGGTAATAAAGGGATATTATTAGGGTATTGAGGGTACCTTGATAATTAGATAGGAAAGTAGTTAGGGAGAGTGTTATAAATAGAGTGTGGGTGTAATGATGAAGGTATCCAATGAGTGAGTATGGTTTTGGCTTGAATGATATCTTAAGAGGGAGGGTCCAAGTACCTCTAATACTTTTTTTTTGTGAAAAAAACAATTTCATTGATGAATAAAATTACAAACAACCTCAAATGATGGATACAAAAACCTCAATAGAGGGTTACATGAAGCACTTCCAGTTAGCTACGAGGGAAGTGTAGCTATAGTGGTGGAACATAGGGGAAGATTTACACCATGTAATGACTGTATAGACTATAGCGTCAAAATAACTGTAAAAAGGGAGAGTTTTGTCATTAAAGGTGCTCTGATTTCGTTCTCTCCAAGTAATCCAAAAGAATGCGCGCATAAAGTTCTGCCAAAGGAGCGCTTTCCTTGGTAGCTATTGTAGTTCGTTTATCTTTTATCTTTCAATATATTCAGTGATTTAAAAAGCTCGAGGCGCACAAAAGCTCAATAGACCTCTGGAGCTTAAGCACGAGGCGCAAAAAAAAGTACGGGCTTTTTTACGCGAGGCGCACTATATATAAAAACAAATAAAAATATATATATACACATATAAAACATATAAAAGCCAAATAAGATAAGAAACATCATAAATCTTAGCATAAAGAATCAATTGTCCACAAAAACATGAAAATGATCCTAAAGATCAAACTCATCATCACTAAATAGTCCTTCAATTTCACCATTTTCATTCTCCTCATCATTAGACTTGTAGCCATCTGCATCTTCCTCCTCGGTGTAATCTTCATCATCAATCAATTGTATGGGTGTGGGCCGTGTAGATTGAGAAGAACTTGAAGCTCCAGTCGTAGTCCTACTTCTTGACCTTGACGTACTTGCTCTAGAATGATAGGCAGGTTCTTCTTTCCCGCAGCTCTCGAAACATCACCCCATGTTAAGGAGTCATCACCAAACACAAGATCATTATCCTCTTCAGAATCACTATCCATTCTCCCTATCAACCACTCATTACTATCATCGATATCCTTTAAAGAGATAGGGTCGATTGTGTTCCGCATGTTACGTCGTCGTTTCAATGCTCTATATACTTTATGAAAACCAAATCATTTAGACAACGTTGTGCAAGTTTATTCCTTCTTTTACTATGAAGCTGCAAAGTATAAAAGAAAAAAGTTCTATAACAATACATCTAAGTTTCTAAACAAGAAGTTAAAAACATATTTCTCAGTGTCATAAAAAACTAACCTGTTCAAAAACACTCCAATTCCGTTCACATCCAGATGCACTACAAGTAAAATTCTCATAGCAAACTTCCTCAAATTTGGAGTTGATACTCCAAAATCATCCCACCATTCCACTATTAAATTGAAGTATTGAAGTAAACTATGTTAATAACTTTCAACCGAGTAATGAACCAAACATCATAAATTAGTACCATTAAATATTACCTGAAGATCTGTTATTTCTTTGTCTAACCGCCATGGGTTGTCCGAATATCCCTTCAGCGTTCTTGTACTTGGTCAACTCCTGAATTATCTTGTCTTGTATTTCTGGAGAAGGGACCATTCTTGTGACACATGCATACATCCCATTAACAACTTCATCATCTTCTGTAATATTCGGATTTGAATAGAAGAATTCTGGATTTAAATAATATCCTGCTACATGCAAAGGACGGTGCAACTGAAGATCCCATCTCTGATCGATGATTTGAAAAACGTCCTTGTATTTGTCTTTCCTTACCATTAAAAGATTTAGCAATGGCCTCCTTAGCTCTATCCATGGCCTCATAAATATATCTTATAGGAGGCTTCTTCTCACCATCCACCAATCTAAGCACTCGAACTAAAGGGCCCGATACTTTAAGAGCAAATACAATTGTATTCCAGAATGATGCCATCAATAGTCTAAACAACTCGCTTGCCTTGTTGTTCCTTGCTCCATTTGCTATTTTTCCATTCATCAGAAGTAAGCATCTTCCTCAAGTTATTCTTCTGACGATGTATGCTTGATAATGTTATGCAAGGCTTGGCAAAGCGAGTCTTAGCTGGCCTAACTAACTTCTTCTCATTCGTAAATTGTCTCATCATATTTAACAATCATGGGCGAACATAAATAAAATTACTGATCTCCATGCATCTTTTCAATGTGTTACGGATATTTGGGATCTTCAATATGTCCTCCAACATCGAGTCCAAGCAATGATCAGCACATGGTGACCGAAATAAATTTGGTCGTTTTGCTTCTAATAATCTCCCTAGTAACAAAATAAAATAAGAAGAGAACATATTATATTAGTCAGCCTAATGTTTAACTTAACATAACACTAATTTGAAGAGGAGCAAGGAATTTGATTTCTTACCCGCCATTACATTTGCTGAAGCACTATCAGTAACGACATGTGCGACATCGGCTTCTCCAATGCACTCGATAAAATCATCGAGTAGCTCAAACATTTTCTTTCCATTCTTGACATAAGATGAAGCATCAATGGACTCAATAAACATTGTGCCTTTAGAACTATTAACTAAGAAGTTAATTAATGTCCTCAGTCCATCTATCGGCCATGATAGTACATCCAAGCCTGGCCCACTCTTCCTTGTGACTCTTCATCAATTCATGTGTTGCTTCTAACTCCTTTTTCAACAATGGCACTCTAAGCTCGTAATAAGATGGTGCTTTTAGCCCAGGGTCGAATTGTCCTATTTCTTCAATCATAGGAGCAAAGCTTTCGTAATTGCAAGCATTCAAAGGAATACCGGAGTCATAAAACCATCGCGCAATTCTTTGTACTGTGCGCTCCCTCATTTCCTTCTTGTAAGTTTCATTGAGTGTTGTTTGTTTCCCTTTCCCATTCTTTCGATTCAGAACTACTGACTCTGGATTAGGGGTGAAAAATGCATCAATCGGACCCTTCTGTCTTGGCTTCTTCGAGTCTAAACTTGGCCGTTGACTAGAAGGCCTCTTACTCGAACTAGTAATAGTCAAATCATCCTTGTCTTCATCATACATACCGAAATCTTGGTCATCAATATCAGGTATAAGATTTCTTTGTTCTTTGATCTCCTTCTTCTTGGACATGTGCTCCTTAATTTCTTCCTTCGCATGATCCGGACATTCCTTGCATGCGGTTGTATTTCTATAACCTCCAATAAGGTGTTGTTTCACCCTATAAACTCCTCCTTTGGTTATTTTTGAACAAAAACTACAAATAAATGTAGCAATGTCTTGAGAATTTGCCAAAGTAGCATACTTCCATGCCGGATCTTTTCTTGAGCCTTCATTAGACATCTAAATTGTAATCGATAGTTAAAATTAAAAATAAATGAAATTTTAGTGTTGTCTTAGAGTGAGAAAATTAGGGAAAAAAAAGGAAGAGCTTACTGTCCAAATAAATTTGAAGAGGAGATGAAGTTGCTTGGTTGAGGACTCGGGTCAATATAATATGTTGGAAAGTTGGACCGTTGAAGAATGAAGAAATTAGAATAGAAATATAGAGGGAAAGAGATGGACTCTTCTGTTGGAGAATTCAAAAATTAGAAATACAGATTAGATAGATAAAAGAATAGAAACAGAGAGATAGAGAGCTTACAAATGAAGAGGGAGAGTTGTTGAGAGTCACGACCACCGGCCATGGGAGATGCAGAGAGAGTCGAAATTAAGGGAGATGCAAAGAGACTCGAAAACGAAGTAGAAAGAGAGATGCACAGAGAGCTGAAATTGAGGGCAAAAAATAGGCACCGTATCGTGACTCTTGAGTTTTTTTTCGTGCATGGGAAGGAAAAGGAATACCGAATACAATAGGAGAAGAAGATGATGAYGTGGGAAAGGGAAATTAAACAGACAATCGGTCTGCTGAGATTCTTTCCATTATTAAAAAAATAAAAATAAAAAAATCAAACAAATTGAAAAAGTCGTGCGGCGCATTCAGCGTTGTAATTCTATTTAAAAAAACAGACCCTAAACGCAAGGGTTTCTGCGTTTAGGGTATGGATCTTTATATTTTTTTTTAAACAAAAGCCCATGAAGCCCGCGCTTCATGGGCTTCGATATTTATCAAGAGGTACGCGCGCCTCATTTGTATCGCCTCGCCTGCGCAATAGTTGCGCTTAGCGCCTAGGCGCTCACCTAGGCGCGCTTTTTCAATCATTGAATATATTTCAGGTTCTAACAGTGCTCTAATGATAGGATTGGTCCGTAAGGTAATAAAGGGATATTATTAGGGTATTGAGGGTACCTTGGTAATTAGATAGGAAAGTAGTTAGGGAGAGTGCTATAAATAGAGTGTGGGTGTAAGGATGAAGGTATCCAATGAGTGAGTACGGCTTTGGCTTGAGTGATATTTCAAGAGGGAGGGTCCAAGTACCTCTAATACTTGGTAGCTATTGTAGTTCGTTTATCTTTTATCTTTCAATATATTTCGGGTTCTAAGAGAGGTATCAGAGCAACTCGTTTCTGGCCCTGAATTCTACACCTGAAGAGGTTCTTCAATTGATGGATAAGATGATGGAATGGATGGACTTGAGGATCCAATCCATGACTAATAAGATGGAACAAGAAAGTATGGTGATCCGATCCTTGCTTCGTAAGGAAAACAATGAGACACTAGAGAAAACAGAGGAAGAGATTATATCAGTGAAGATGACACGACCATATGGGGATGAGAAGACGATGATTAGAGAAGAAAAGTTGAAGAGCAAGCAAAAATCTGTTCACAGGGAAGAGAGGTTGGAACAACCAAAGGAAAATCAAATTAGAAGGGAAAGACCACATCGATTTGTGCTCGAAACTTCATATGTTCCCTCAATGATTGAACTCGTCGAAGGCCGTCGAAATTCGGAGATCAGGCACGAGAAGACTAGAAAGGCTAGAGTTCAGAAAAACCAAGGGCCATTATCGATTTTATGGCGAAAGATGAAGGCTCGAAAGAGTCGAAGACATTGTAGAAGATGGAGCATCAACAACTGCAAAGCTCGTGAGAAGGTGAATAATCATGAAAGAAAGGAAAAGAAAGTGAGAAAAATGGCCGACAAAGGCCATCGCCGGCGACCATGGCAGATGCGGTCGGAGAAGGAGACTTGGTGGAGGCATCGATGGAAGCTTCTTGAAAGTGAAACCCTTCAACGAGGTGGGTCACAAAAGAAAGGAAGGAGAAGGAACCCTAATGGTCACATTAAGGGAGAAGGTTCCGGAAAAGTTGGCCCTAGAAGCCCAAGAAGAGAATGGAGTAATTGGGCTGAGTTTCTTCAATTCGATAAAGTTCATGAGGCCCATTTCTTTAGAAAAACAAAAATAGTGAATGTTTTGATGTGTGGGTTTTGGGCCAGGTTGTCCCCTAGGTCTAACCCAAAAACTGACCTAAGTGGGCATCCTCTACCCACGTTCAGAGAAACCCTAGCCGTCGCACTCCTCCTGTCTGTATACACGCCGCCTGCACGATGCCGCCGTCACCGACGGGCCGAAACTGGCATCTTGCGAAGTGCTTTCCCCCTTCCCAGCTCGCATCTTCGACACTAACGTCGTCGACCAAGGTCCAGAACAAATCGTCGTCAACCAACGACCACCGCTGTCCGTCACCAACCTTCGGCCATCGCTGTCCATCGCCCACCGCAGCGGCTACCGTTGCTGACTGCTACCTATCACCGATCGTCAACCATCACCTGCACCAAGTAGCAACCACACCATTTTGTGCATGCTGCTACCTTCCACTGACGTCCTATGACCACCCCACCACAACAGCCGATTCAATTTGACTTTGCAAGGCTAGGTTTCAAATTCTTGTGCGGGTTATTAAAAATAAAAAATATATATATAAAAAAGTTTTTGTTTAGTCACACCTTGAGGACAAGGTGTGTTTTAAGGGGTGGGTAATGATAGGATTGGTCCGTAGGGTAATAAAGGGATATTATTAGGGTATTGAGAGTACCTTAGTAATTAGATAGGAAAGTAGTTAGGGAGAGTGTTATAAATAGAGTGTGGGTGTAAGGATGAAGGTATCCAATGAGTGAGTATGGTTTTGGCTTGAGTGATATCTCAAGAGGGACTGTCCAAGTACCTCTAATACTTGGTAGCTATTGTAGTTTGTTTATCTTTTATCTTTCAATATATTTCGGGTTCTAACATACTATTTCTCTTATCTCATTATCAATTGATATATTTCGAGCTAATATATCTTGAACTAGAGAGAGAGAGAGAGAGAGAAAGGAACAACAACAACAAATGGGCCAGTAGATTAGTTCAGAATCAGGCCACAAAGTTTATCTATTCTAGCCAAGGTTGAGATGCCTTCCAATTGGAAAGTTGAAAATTAAAAAGTACAAGCAAGCATGAAGTATCACAGGAGTATCTATTTGACATAGCAATAAAAACAATGCTACCTGGAATGCTTGGATTTTCTGTGGCACAAGAGAGTCTTCAATGGTACCAAGACCAAGTTGACCATTTTGATTCCTTCCCCAACTTCAATCATATAAAATTGAAAACACAGAGTAAATGCATATTTTAAAGTAATAAAATCAAACGTATACAGATAAGTAATTCATATAAAGAGTAAAATTTTTTAAAGTAAAAAGAAACCAAGTTTTCATTCAGAAAAATAAAAGAATATACAAAGGCATAAAACAAAGCCCAACAAAACAAGGTCAAAACTACAGAAAGTGGCACAATCCAAAAGAATAACACCTAATTAATAATTACAAAAAACATTAAGGAACAGATGCCTACGAGAAGTGTTAAGTCTAATGACATCTCAAATCTCCAAGGACCTCTCACCCCTTCTAAAGATTTGGTTATTTATCTTAAGCCAGATGCTCCACAACTAATATAAATAGTAAATAAATCCAATGCAGACCACACCGCAACTTGACCTTGACAAAGCTCCAAAATGTCCTCCCCTATAGCAGAAAAGGACGGTTTTTTTCTTTTTTGTGATGAAAAAAAATCATCAAGACAAGTAAAAGAATTCACAATACCATATCTACTCACTAAACTACACTTCATAGATTTTTTAAACCAAGCAGTGATTTAAAAAGCTCGAGGCGCACAAAAGCTCAATAGACCTCTGGAGCTTAATCGCGAAGCGCAAAAAAAAGCGCGGGCTTTTTTACGCGAGGCGCACTATATATAAAAACAAATAAAAATATATATATACACATATAAAAACCAAACAAGATTAGAAAACATCAAAGATCTTAGCATAAAGAATCAATTGTCCACAAAAACATGAAAATGATCCTAAACTAGTATAAGTATGATAGTTCAAAATGAAAATCTAATGATCAAACTCATCATCACTAAATAGTCCTTCAATTTCATCATTTTCATTCTCTTCATCATTAGACCTGTAGCCATCTGCATCTTCATCCTCGGTGTAATTTTCATCATCAATCAATTGTATGGGTGTGGGTCGTGTGGATTGAGAAGCACTTGAAGCTCCAGTCGTAGTCCTACTTCTTGACCTTGACGTACTTGCTCTAGAATGATAGGCATGTTCTTCTACTCCAGCAGCTCTCGAAACATCACCCCATGTTAAGGAGTCATCACCAAAGACAAGATCATTATCCTCTTCAGAATCACTATCCATTCTCCCTGTCAACCACTCATTACTATCATCGATATCCTTTAAAGAGATAGGGTCGATTGTGTTCCGCATGTTATGTCGTCGTTTCAATGCTCTATTATACTTTATGAAAACCAAATCATTTAGACGACGTTGTGCAAGTTTATTCCTTCTTTTACTATGAAGCTGCAAAGTATAAAAGAAAAAGGTTCTATAACAATACTTCTAAGTTTCTAATCAAGAAGTTAAAAGCATATTTCTCAGTGTCATAAAGAACTAACCGGTTCAAAAACACTCCAATTTCGTTCACATCCAGATGCACTACAAGTAAGACCTAGAATTCTCATAGCAAACTTCCTCAAGTTTGGAGTTGATACTCCAAAATCATCCCACCATTCCACTATTAAATTGAAGTATTGAAGTAAACTATGTTAATAACTTTCAACCGAGTAATGAACNTTTGGAGTTGATACTCCAAAATCATCCCACCATTCCACTATTAAATTGAAGTATTGAAGTAAACTATGTTAATAACTTTCAACCGAGTAATGAACCAAACATCATAAATTAGTACCATTAAATATTACCKGAAGATCTKTTATTTCTTTGTCTAACCGCCATGGGTTGTCCGAATATCCCTTCAGCGTTCTTGTACTTGGTCAACTCCTGAATTATCTTGTCTTGTATTTCTGGAGAAGGGACCATTCTTGTGACACATGCATACATCCC